CTCAGGCCAACCCTCCCTTTGTACGCTGGGGAAACTTAGTTCTACAGAAATTCTCATTAGCTCCCTGGAAGCCCTGGTCCCTTCTATCATTACTGCTCAGCCTCAGGCCAAGCTCATGGCCACCAGGTCACTAGGCACTGGATAGAAAGGAACACAAAGGGACCGACTGGCTTCAACACCCTGTTCTCTGACCTCTCAGCTTGAAGTCTGGTTACTGTTCTGCAGAACAACAATCCAGCCCTCAGTGCCTCCTTGTCCCTCTTCCTGCAGCAGGATTTCAAGTCCCCTCACAGCCTCCTTCATTGAGAGGGCCAACTGTGAGTCCCTCTATCCTTGGAGTTTGCTCTGAGCCTCCCCTCACCCCTGACTCCTTTTTGTCTCTCTCCTTCCAGTTTTCCAATCTTCTACCCAGGCTCTTGATCTTTCCCCACTGTTTCTTCTTCATTTCTCTTCACTGCTCTTCAAGCTCTCCTCCTCTGCAGAACCTTCTGTTCCATCGCTGTCCTCCCCTTTACCACCAAATATGCCTCCATCTGTCAGTTTGTCGTACTGTGGGGGCCTGAGTGTTGCTGTGATGCTAGAAGCTGTGCCACCAGTATTTCAAATGCCCCAGGGTCACCCACAGGGGACAGGTTTCAGTGGAGCTACCAGACTAAGACAGACTAGGAAGAAAGACCTGGCAATCTACTTTCAAAAATTAGCCAGTGAAAACTTTATGTATCAAAACAGAATAGTCTGACATAGTGCTGGAAAGGTGGCCTGGTGGTGCAGTGGTTAAACACTTGGCTGCTAACTGAAAGTTTGGGTTCGAGCCCACCAGTCATTCCATGGGAGAAAGATGGGGCAATCAGCTTCTGTAAAGATTACAGCCTTGGAAACTCTGTGGGGCAGTTCTACTCTGTCCTATAGGGTCACTATGCATTGAATTGACTTGATGGCAACAAATGTTTTTTTTATTTTTTTAATAGTGCTGGAAGATGAACCCCTTAGGTTGGAAAACACTATACAATACTCAAAACAATGGACTCAAGCGTACCACTGATCATGAAAATGGCCCAGGACCAGCAACGTTTCTTTGTTATATGTAAGGTTGCCATGAGTTAAAGTCAATTAAACAATAACACTCTTTCCTTAACCTATTGGGGTCTGGCTCAACTTACACACATATACCCCTCTCTCTCTTCTCTCTTGCCACCCTATTGAAAATGCTTGATGAGAGAGCAATGGCCACTAAGCCCACAAACCACCAGTCTTGCATTGGGCCTTTCCCCACGTGGCCTCTGCAACACCCGACAGTGCTGCTCTCCACCTTCTCCCCCTCCATGGTTACAGAGCTGCCCCTCCTGGGATCTCCTCTTCCTCTCGTTGCTCCATCTCCATTGCTTCCTCTGCTTTGCCCACTGGTGAAGGGCAGCTGTGGCCCACAATGCTGCCCTCAGTAACCTTCTCCACATGTTCCACACTTCCCTGCAGTGACCTCGGCCATCCACAACTCCAAGGTCTCCCCCAGGCTGATGGTAGCAGACTCTCACCTGGAACCTGGAACTCTCTTCTGAGCTCCACACTGACAGTGCCTCTTGACCATCCCTCTGGTACCTGCCACCCTGCCCATCCCTCCCCACCTACTCTTCCCATTCCAGCTCTTCATCCTTGGTTTCTTCCCAGTCACATAAACTTGAATTCTGACCCTTTATTTCCCCTCAGCTCCCGTTTCTCACACAAATGTTTTGAACCTCCTCTCCAATGATCTTTACTTATTTATATTGCCTTGTATCAGGCCCTCATAACTTCTAACCCACTCAGTGCAACAATCTCCCAACTGATTTTCTGCCTCGAGTCTCTCTTCCCTCTCATTACCTTCATGCTGTCCTCTTCTTACCTTACCTTATTCCTTTTTTTAAAAAAAAAGCTTCAATGGTTTTCTCACTCACTACAGAATAAAATGAAAATATCTTTGCCTGGTAAGGCCTCATTCTACTTTCCAGCCTTCACCCTCTCTATGTACAAGCTACTATCTCCACTGCCTCTAAATCTTGCTACACTCAACTCTTACCCCAGATTTCTTACAACTTCCAGCCTCCAGCCTTTTCCCAGTATGCTCTTGTCCAAGTCTCCTACCTTCCTCCACAGCCCAGTTGAGATGCTGCCTCTCATCCTAGTCCCAGAAACCACCCCTCACTGTCATGTGCCATTATTTGTATGCCTTTCCAATAGTACTCACTACACTGTTTATAATTCAGTGTTCAGAAAACTGTCCCTCACCATCTCTGATGTCTCCTCCATCCTAGCAGACAGAGGCAGGGAAGGCAGGGACTGGACTGTTCATATCCACCCATAAGTCCTTGGCATCTAGCACTGTGCTTAATGTTTATCTTCTGCTTTGAGATATTATTATTATTTTGTAAGTTTATCTCTTTTACTAGATTATAAACTCCTTGAGGTGAGGGATCACATCTTACCACTATCCCTCCATCCTACTATCACGATGAGCACCAGGCAGAGTACTCTGCAAACAAAACAAAACAAAACTTCAGCAAAAATCTGTTGTATTGACTATGTATCTGGCATGAGCTCAAACCCAAAACATCCAGTGTAGATAACCACTAATATTTTTTTTAATGAGGATTTTCCAGTCCCAGGCCTAAACTAACCCCAGGTCCTTATTACCAAAGAGCAGGGCTACAGACAGACAAGGAGAAGGTTACATATAGGGATGAGGCATATACTATTCCCACAAAACCACAAATATGACAAACATGCAGCAACTGACTCTTCTGTCTTCTGCCTGAGCTCCAGGGAAGACCCCTATCCAACCTCCTGAACAGGCCCAGGTCTGCTGACAGGAGGCCCCCACAGACCATGTACAGCCAAGTGTTACCATCTCCTTCTTGGCTGCCTATTCCTGGGCCCCCAGTAGCATCAGACAGCCAGGCAGAATTCTGACAGCTGGAGGGCCCCACCCCATCAACATTCTCTCTTACAGAGCGTGACTTATTTCACATGGAAGCTCCTTGAGCAGGTTACCTGGGAGTCCTGGCAGGCACACACTAAAAACATTTCCAAAAGGAGGCAAATAGGCCAAAGATCAACCTGCAGAAGGGAGGAAAGTCCAGGCATTCCAGGCAGCCTCTTCTACTGCTACTGACAGTGTCCCCCTTCCTGTCGTCTCAGTTTCTTTAGGTGGGTAGGGAGGGTTAGGAGATTGGCTGCTGCTCTTCAATTCCATCCCATTAATTTAACATTTACGGAATCTCAGAACTTTCCAATTTCTAGGTGTATTACCTTAGGCAAGTCCCTTGCCACTAAGATGTTTCTTCATCTATAGAACAAAGATAATGATCTTTGCTTTGCCTCCCTGACAAGGCAGGCTGAAATGAGAAAATGCATGTGAATAAGCTTTCTAAACTGAAAAAGCCCTGTGGATATTATTGCTATTCACATTATCTGTGCCAACCCTCTAATTCTCCAGATGAAGAAACCCAAACTCAGGGTAACAGGATAAGAACTAGGGTCTTCTGATCTGAGTACTTGGTTTACTAAACAGTAACAGCAGGCACAAACCCTTTATGTTTAACAGACTGGTTCCTTTTCCCCTTCAGTTTTTATTAAGAAATATTTATTTGCAAACTTGGGAGCTCTGGTAGCATAGTGGCTAAGACACTTGCCTGCTAACCAGACGGCTGGTGGTTCAAACCCACCAGCCACTCCTCGGAAGGAGGGTTGGGCAATCCTACTTCCGTAGTGATACTGCCTCGGAAACCCAAGGAGGGGTCGCTATGAGTCGGGGCTGACTCGACGGCACATAACAACAACAACAACAACATTTGCAAACTTAGGTTAAAGAAAAAGAGGGTTCCTAGGTAGAGTGAGATGATGAAGAGAGACAACTCCACTGTCCTCTCCCTGGTTTGCAAGCCTTCAGTTCAGAGGCACTCAGCAGCTTGGTGCTGCCCAGCCATCTATGTGGCTGGCCAGTGATGGACTCTTGTGGGGAAGGGTCAGGTGGGGGTATTCCAGGCCATCTCCAACAAGGCCATCTGCTCCAAATCTCACAATTAGGTTAAAAGGTTCAAAGAAAAAGTGAGGGGCCTGGTTAGAAAAATCAAGTGCTAATTTTAGGAGGGTGACCCCTGGCCCTTGCCCCAAGACAGCAGAGGGACTGAAGACACTATGGAGGCAAATTTGCAGGGAGCAAGGTCAGAAGCCTTCCTTCCCTCACTAGAACCCATTCTCTCCTTTAGAGGAGCTATGTTTATTTTCCTAAACCACAGGCAGTGCCTCAATTAGGAACCGGTTCTGTTCCTGTCTATCTTTAAGGCAAACTTGTATGGTTAAGTCTGAACAAATTCATATCTAATGTCAATTAGTCAAGTGTTTGTCTTAGTACATAGTGTACATTTCTATGCATAGAAAAAATTAAATAAATACTTCTAGATACACTAAAACATCTTTAATAATACAGCAATAATGTTTTCATATATGCTGCAAAGTAGCACCTGTTTATTATGAACCACTGTATGTACCTAAAATTTTTAATAAGTTTTATAAGATCGGTTTGGAACTACGGGGTTGTACTAAGTCGGATAGGCGTTCGTAACCCGGGGACTGCCTGTATAATAATTCCCAGGCCAGCACCTGGCCCTGAGCCACCAAAAGGCCCTTTGGGAAATGTAGTTCGACTTCGCTTCCAGGAAAGCTTCCTTGCCTCCCTCTGCCAGCGCCTGGCATTCTCGGGGACTTCAAATCTCAGAGAGCTCCGCAAACACCCCGAAAACTTAAGTCCTGAAGTCACGACTGACACTGTCATCAGGTGTCCAGCATCCCGGAAAAGCGTGGGAGGAAAATACTACACCTCCCAGCAGCCGCCGCGCGTCTCAGTGCGCAGGCGTAGCCGCGCCTCACTCCCCTCCCCCTCCTCCAACTGCTCCCGTCGGTCCGTTCCCGCATTCCCCCCATCAGTTCTAATGTACCCCTCTGCCGCTCTGGCACCTCACACTCACCGCGAATCCGCGGCGTCGGGTATAGCCGCTGCGCCTTCTCCAAGAAACGGAGTGCCCGGTCGGGCTGGTTGCTCTGGATGGCCTTGAGGGCGATGCTAATACAGCGCTCGGCTTCATCCTTGTTGGATTCCATGGCGGAACCAGAGCGCGGAACCAGGGAGGGGGAGGCCGGGCTAGCGAAGGGCTGCGCCAGCCGCCGGCGCGTCGCGGGGCAGGCGGCGCAGGATGATGACACCGCCCTCCGCCCCTCCTTTTTCGAGATTTGAGCGAGGGCGGAAGCGCTACCTTATGTCTAAGAGTGTGACGTCTGGTTTACACGTTAAAGGTACACGTCCACATTCCTGGAGCCTAAGAGCTCGTGGTCCTAAGAGCTTACCGTTAATGAGTATGCTTGCACGTTGTTCGTAGTACTATGCTCATGAGACGAAGGTCATTTATTCATTCATTCAAATTTGTCAGGCATGCTGGGGATAGAGTGATAAATAACGTATGTGTGTGTAGAGTCAGATGATACATGCTATGAAGAAATATAAAGCAGAGTAAAGAGGGAGTAGGAGGTGCTATTTTAAATAGTATGATAGGAGAAATTCTCAGAACCTATCATTTGAACAAAAACCAGAATGGAGAGAGCAGATTTTCTCGATGTGACTATTTGGAGGAAGGGTGGTCAGGCAGAAGGAACAGCAAATGCATTGGTTCCAAATGGGAATTTTCTTGGTAAGTTATTACAGGATCAGCAAGGAGAAGACGCGATAGAAGCATACAACATAAAGAAAAAACCCCAAACCCACTGCCATCCAGTGAATTCCGATTCATAGTGACCCTATTGGCCAGAGTGGAACTATCCCCTAGAGTTTGCAAGGCTGTAAATCTTTAGGGAAGCAGACGGCCTCATCTTTCTTGGCCAGAGTGGGCAGGTGGTTTTTTTTTTTTAAATTGTGATTTGGGTGAAGATTTACAGAGCAAATTCACTTTCCATACAGCAGTTCACATATACTTTATCTCATGTCATTGACCACAGTTTACCACAATGTAACAGCTCCCCTCCCACTTCCTCCCCATAGTTACCTCTTCCCAGTGTCCACCCCTCCATACACTCCTGCCCCCTGAGCTGTCTCCCTGTGCATAAGCAGCCCTTCTTTCTCCCATGATTGTTCTCTCCAAGGAGTGTATCTACTTGAGGTAAATGTTTAACTCATATGCCTGTATTTTGTTTGGCTGGAAACTACAGGTGTGAGTTCAATTCCAGACCTGAAGGGCAGCTAGGGGGCATAGTCTGAGTGGTTCCACCAAGCTCCATCAGACCAGCAAACCTGGTCCCCACTTTCTTTTTTTTTTTCCCTCCACATGATTTTGAGTTTTGTTCCACATTGTCCTCCCTCTCTATCAAGGATCTCCTATGTAGATCCCCTTCCAAGTGGATGACAGTGGTAGCCGGGCACCATCTAGTTCTTCTGGTCTCATAGTTGTATAGGCTGCAGATCGGATGGTGTACCAGTCGCTAGGACTGTTTCCATGAATTTTGGTTTTCTTCATTCTTTGCTCTGGATGAGGAGAGACCCATCGTTGCATCTAGATGGCAGCTTGCTAGCTTTTAAGATCCCAGTTGCTACTTGCCAAAGTAGGAGGTGGAACAATGTTTTATATAGTATGTTATGCCAATTGAGCTTGATGGCCCCTGTGACTATGGTCCCAAGCCCACAGGTTCAACCACTCGGTCCCTCTGGGTAGCTGGCTGTGACCAAACAGTGACCACAACCTTGTCCCTTGTCAGCTCTATTGTACACCTGGGAATTCTGATCATTCACATAAACTTATAGGACCATTGTCTGCCAACCCTATATATGTTCTTGGATACACTCCCCATTTCATAGACATACCTAATTGTTTAGCCCAGAGTGGGCAGGTGGGTTTGAACCCGCCAACCTTTCGCCGAAAGCTTTAACCACTGCGCCAAACATGTTAAGATTCTATTGCAGAGTGGAATCCAGTTCTATCAGGCCAGATAGGAATGGGTTCAAGAGAGTGAGGAAATGGGTTGGTTGTGGAGAGGAATGTGGGTCTGAGTAATTTATTTATTGGATATATTATAAGAGTATACCAAAAACCAAACCAAACTCACTGCTGTCGAGTCGATTGGACTCATGACGACCTCTTCTTGGATTTCCGAGCGGTATCTCTGCCAAAGTAGATTCCCCATTCTTCATTCGGAGGAGTGGCTGGTGGGTTTGAACCACCAGCTTCTGGTTAGCAGTCAAATGCCTTAGACACTATGCTTCCAGAGCACCATGCTGTTGTTGTTATGTGCTGTTGAGTCAGCCCCGACTCATAGCGACCCCTCCTTGGGTTTCCGAGGCAGTATCACTATGGAAGTAGGATTGCCCAACCTTCCTCCCAAGGAGTGGCTTTGAACCGCCAGCCGTCTGGTTAGCAGGCAAGTGTCTTAGCCACTATGCTACCAGAACTCCCCCCAGAGCACCACAGGAGGAGTATATGTGTGTGTATATATGTGTGTATGTGTGTGTGTGTGTGTGTGTGTATATATATATATATATATGTCTGTCTAGGAGCTCTAGTGGTGTAGTGCCTAAGGCATTTGACTGCTAACCAGAAGGCTGGTGCTTCAAACCCACCAGCCAGTCCTTGGAAGGAAGATTGGGCAATCTACTCCTGTAGTGATACTGCCTTGGAAACTCAAGGAGGGGTTGCTATGAGTCAGGACCGACTTGACGGCAGTGAGTTTTTTTTTTGGTATACATATGTATATGTATATGTGTGTGTGTATATATATATATATATACACACACACACACACACACATATAATTAAGCAAGAAGTTTTGGTAATGCAGGAAAGAGAAGAGACAATTACAGGAGTAGACAAAGGAGGTGGGATCTGGGAGACAAGCAGAGGAGATGGTCTTAGCCACATGGACAACTCACTCATTTTCAGGAAGGCAGGCAGTATAGACTGCAGATCAGCTGCTAGATTTGTAAGTGGGAGCATAAGGATGTTCTCTTCACACTTTTTCTGCAAAAAGCAGCATGGCCCTACCACATGCACACTTGGCCCTCCTCTTCTTCACTGTGCATTGTTCACTCTTCAGAAAACTCTTTCCCGTCCACCCTTACTTTTCAACCCCACTGTTGCTGTCCTAGAGCAAACTCAAATCCAGGCCAGAGTTCCTAGAGTATCCTGTGATGAAGCCAGATTCTGACTCATGGCAACCCCCTTTGGGTTTCCCAGGCAGTAAATCTTTACAGAAGTAGAGCCCAGTCTTCCTTCCATGCTCCTTAATAAGGCAGCAATACAAGTCAGTAGATAAAGTTAAAAATCTCCACACACTGATTGGATCCTAATGTGTTAATGAATAAAACTAAGATCCCTCTCAAGCAGCCTGAGGTTTATTCACCTATGACTGACTACAAGGTCATAGGATAAGTATCATGAAGTCTCCTCTTGCATTTCCTGAGTATCTTGAAGTCCCTCTTTCTCCTGACCACAAGGTGCTTCTCTTTGTGAAGGGTGTTTTCATGTGTAAAAGAAAGCTGGAATTTTGTTGTGTTGAGGAAATGGACTGTGATTGCCCAGCTACTGACTGGTAAGCATCCTTTCCTTGTTGTTGTTATTTGCCGTCGAGTCGGCCCCAACTCATAGCGACCCCTCCTTGGGTTTCCGAGGCAGTATCACTACGGAAGTAGGATTGCCCAACCTTCCTTCCGAGGAGTGCCTGGTGGGTTTGAACCGCCAGCCTTCTGGTTAGCAGTCAAGTGCCTTAGGCACTATGCTACCAGAGCTCCCTCCTTTCCTTAGGAAAGGAATTTAAATTTAAAGTCTTGTTTAAAAATTGAGGCTGCAGTCAGTAATTGGGCTTGGTTGGCAGGCTCTGGAGCAGGAAAGACCTGGAGAAGAGGGTGGTAGGGCCCCTTTATACTTTATATCGCGTTCTCCTCTCCCCTCTGCAGCTAAGTTATGTCCCTGAGTTGTTTCACTTCAGAAGAGCTTTGTTGCTTCAGAAGGGATTATAGATTCTGCCTGACTACCCATCTAACCAGCCTCTTGGTACCACTCCCCACCTCACACCTTTTTTGTAGATCCCAAATTGGGTGCCTTATTTTTTGTCCTGAGACTAATTTGACTTTCTAGAGTCCTTCTCAGGGCAGGAATGAGGAAGAGAGCCCCACCTCTGATCAGTTATTGTTAAACATTATGGTCCTTGGTCTATATTTTGTTTTAAACTGAAACTGGTATGCCAGGGATGACCTGAAACTACAATTTCTCCTTGATGGTTCTTGGGATCTGATGTCATGATCTTGAACTAAGGGAAAAACTGAAAACTCTTTTTATCTTTTCCAGCTGGACTTATGGTATCTGTGGAAGGAGAGGGAGCTCTGGTGGCGCAGTGCCTAAGGCATTTATTTGACTGCTAACCAGAAGGCTGGCAGTTCAAACCTACCAGTGTCTCCTCAGAAGGAAGATTGGGCAATCTACTGCCGTAGAGATACCGCCTTGAAAATCCAAGGAGAGGTTGCTATGAGTTGGCATTGACTTGACTACAGTGGACTGAAAAAGAAAGACAAAAATCCTTCCTTCCTTCCTTCACAGATACCCACGAGAAATCACTGGAAAAATGAATCTCCAAATCTCCTCATTTTGTTCCTAGACCTAAAGCTACTCTTGTATTGGTTGCCCACCAACCTTTGGATTTTTCTCCTCTGGAGACGCCAGGAACTCACAATCTGACCTAAACATGCTTTGATCCTCTTATTGTGCCTTCCCATCTAACAACGTACATTTCACCTTGCCCTATCCACTTGCCTGCCCTCCTTAGTCATCTTTTCCATTTGTCCACATCCAACCCATTCTTTAGGGCTCAGCTCAACCCTCATTGCTCTGCGAAGAGAGAGAATGCATTTAATAGGTGCATGTCAGATGTCTTTACTGAAAGCTAGGCACTGTGCAGAGCTCAAGGGATTCAGAGATGTACAACAACAAAAGATGAAACCTAACATCATCTCCTTCCTCAGTGGTTCTGCTTTGGAAACCCGAGGAGGGGTTGCTATGAGTCAGATCTCACTTGACGGCATGAGTTTGGTTTGGTTTTTTAACATCAAGGATTTTAGTCTAAAAAGGGAGATGGAATAGTAAAAGAATAAATTGTAGTATAGTGTGATAAGTGCAATAATGGGATTATGTGTAGCTTCA